TATTCATTAACACCCTGTATATTGTTTTTTTTTGTTACCTTAAGCTTAGGAATTTCTGATATATTCGTTTCTTTATTTAGGTATATTTGTCATGCTACAAGATTTCGAATCCGTTGAGCAATAAATATATTATTATTAAATATTTTAGATAGCCTGGCTTAGTTATAAAACCAATAATTATTTAAAAATAGAAGAAGTCATCCTGTTTCATATTCTTAAACTTTAATTCAAAATTATTGCATTTTTAAGTTGTTTTGTGCATCTCATTTGATTGCTAATATGGGTTTTATTATATTTCATGTTTTTTTTTTATTTTTTCATTTAAATGCGGATCCCTTATTCCTGTTTTCTCCAGAATATGTAATATAAGGTATCATCAAGTAGACATTAACATTTTCTTAGTTAAAATACTAATTAACGTTTGCTTATTACATTTAAAATAGTAGGAATTAATAACCATAATTAAAAACAATAACTGGGATAACTAGGGTTGCCAGGACTGAGCCGCGGGGCATAGGCGCACGGAGCATGTTAAGCGTAATAAAATAAATAACGTAGACGTAGAAAATAAGCAATAAATAATACAATTTATAACAAGTATTCAAAACTCACCCTAATGCAACAGTAGGTATACTGAACTTGAAAAGCATTCTGAGGCATCGGCTCGCGCATGTTTCGGTAGATCCGCTTGGCAGGCCGTTGAATCGCGGATCTCTCTGACAGCCCTAGTGATAACACTCATATTTATTACTTCTTTATTATTATTATTATTGTTTTTTGTAAACAAACTTTTTGTACATGCCAATTGACTGCATGCATTTCGCTAGGTGAGGTTTTACGATCGACCAAATTCCTGTGTCGTACAAATATTTTTAAATAATATTGGAAGTCACTTTTCATTTCTTTTTTACACAATAATATTTGTATGAATATATTGTCCAACCCATATTTTCCTTTTGGATAAGTTGTTAATCTTCCTGTATGTTATTGCTGTGGCCATTGTGAAAAGTACTTCTACAGGTACAATTTATATTTATATGTGTACATTTTTTGTTTATTTTTTCTTCCTTTATTTTGTAATTTTGTTATATTGTATTTAAAGAATATAGTTTTATCACTTTCAAATCGTCGTTTTATTGTTACTTGTTTTGTCAGTGACGACTCGCGTCGCCCCCCCTGGAAATTTTCATAGTAAAGAATTTAATTTAAAATTTATTTTACATTGTTATTTACATACTTAAATAGATGAACCTTATGAAACACAATGTCTAGTGAACTGCAAAATTCGTTTGCGAAACTCTGAATACATGGGCTCCTTGTAGCTCACCTCTACATATACAGGGTGATTAACAACTTATCCAAAAAAATTTGGGAATAGATGCGGCATGAGAAATGGAGTCAATATTGTAAAAAAAAATTTGTAAAATCCTTATAGTTTCTGAGAAAAACGTTATTGAAGTTATAGCACATTAAACCACTACATAGCTGGACAACTGTAGTCTCTAGCGTCATTCGCAATACGTGTGGAGAGCCATGTGACTCCTAATACTGAAATCCGTCGTTGCGGTAGTTTTTACCTGTTATCTGTGTTATTTACATAAGTTTTTTAGTAGTTAGTGTCAAAAATGGCTTGCGTGTATAGCAACTCAGAGTTGATGGATATCGTTTTAATTTATGGTGAAGCAAGACAACATTTGGTGAAGTATTTGTGTTATGGTGAAGCAAGATATAATTTGTGTTAGTTCGTAGAAAGTGAGTAAGACGGACCCAAATGTGTTTACACGTGAGTGGATAAAATTTTGAACAATTGGTGTTGCAGCATCGGGTATGTCAAATGATTTTATTATTTAAAAACACAAATTAATTTTATTAATTAATAACGGCAAAAGCAGTTGAATTTGCCGATATAAAATAGGTGCGATAAAATTCTATTTACATATTTCTTTCCTTGCGAAAGTTTTTGTCCGTTTTTATCACACCGCCATGACGGTCGCATTGTGCTAGGTCAGGTTTTACAGTGGACCAGTTTCCAGTGCCGTGCAGAAGTGTATTTTTAAATCAATTTCGAACTGACCTTTTTGATTTTTTCTTTACAAAATTGTATTTGTAAGGGTCCTCTGTACACCCAGAATTTTTTTTTGGATAAGTTCTGAATCACCCTGTATAAAGTGTTTACAGCGGTGGTTATGGTTACCGTCGCGCAACAGTGAAAGTCGGATTGGGGTAGCGCACATTTACTACTAGTTTGGTCTCTGTTTAGTCTGCTTTTTTCTATTCAGGTTTGATCACGTGTGGTACAAAATGTTGTTATTTACATATTGTTTATTTGTGTGTTTTTTTTTAAATTGTAAGAGTTTAAATTGATTGCAAGAATTAATGATGCGAGAAATACCAAAGTTTAATGAAAAAGTAATTGAAAAGTTTATTTCGGAGAAAAACGGATGAAAGGACTTTCACTTTGAATTTATGTTCAATACTTTGTACGCAAATTTTTCCGCCCTCCCTCGTATGGAAGTCAATAGCCGCCACTGTATATGTATGAACAAATTAATAAAATATGTTCCATTGAAATTAAATGATAAGAAGTTTCCGGTAAATTCAGTTAATTTAGTAGATATTTTCATTAGCAGAATCATAAATTTCATTTTATCTCTAGAGACGATACTTTTCTTCAGGGTTATAATGGCTTATTGCAAAATATACACTATTTAATTACACAGCCCCACAAAAAGAAAGTATCGGATCTGGTATTCAGTCAGACCCATGTATTTCCATGTACTTTTTTTCGCTGAATCCGAATTTGCCTTCAGATTTGGCCCAACGGGTCTGAGTTTTCGGAAAAATTCAAAAAACAGCTCGAAATTACAAAAAACGTCATTTACGATCGACGAAAGTTATAAAAAGTCAAATTATTCTACCAGCTCACTAGACGTATGATTTTTCACTTGTTTAATTCCAATTTATCATCATAGAGTCAGACAAGCTGGTCCAATTTAATTCAAAAACGGAAAATAGATCAAAATGCCATTTTCAAGGCATAATTCGTGTTGCAGAATTCTGGATCCATTTTTTTATCCACCCACCCATTTATGAATTCATACATCTTTCTATCCAGTCGTTCATGCATGAATACGCATATTTATCTATCCACCTGTACCACCTATAAAACCCACCCATCCACCTATCCACCCCTGTATCCATCTACTTTTTGTGCTGAGAGATGAGATAACAGCCTAGAAGATTGAGAATGCAATAAAACTTGTAGAATACTCTACTTTCTAAACAAAGAAAAATGATATCTACAAATCATTCTTATTTTTGTTGCTATGACGTGTTCTCTTTTCTTCAAAGGATCTATGCAAAGGGTTACGCTTTCGTTTAGTCCCTCTATTTTTTGTTGCTCTTTTTAACAACCAACAAAAATCGGCCATCATGTTGTGATCCCATCTTTCTTGATATCGCTATTCTAGAACCTTCCTATCCTAATGAGATCGTTCGCTTTGTCTTCGCTATAATCTCTAACATTTTCAGGAAACCAATCCAGATGTGAATGAAGGAAGTGCAACTAGTAGTTCATCAAACATCCCAGGTCTTGGAATTCTTTTGTCAATTTTAGTACAATTTCTTCGTATTTAGGACTCTTGTTGTTTCCTAAAAAATTTGTCGCTATAACTTTGAGACTAGTACAAGCACTCTTCTCAACGCTACTCATTGTAGTGATGAATGTTGCATCCTTGAACAATGTCCGAATCTGAGGTCCATCGAATACACCTTCTTTCAATTTCGCCTCAGAAATATTTGGAAATTTTCGCCCTTTATATAGGGCAAAAACTTGTTGGTTGTTAAAAAGAGAAAAATAGAGGGACTAAACGAAAACGTAACCCTTTGCATAGATCCTTTGAAGAAAAGCGAACACGTTATAGCAACAAAAATAAGAATGATTTGTCGATATCGTTTTCTTTTGTTTAGAAAGTAGAGTATTCTACAAGTTTTAATGCCTTCTCAATCTTCTAGGCTGTTATCTCATCTCTCAGCACAAAAAGTAGATGGATAGATGGGTGGGTGGGTGAATTTTATAGGTGGTACAGGTGGATGGACAAATATGCGTATTCATGCTTGAACGACTCGATAGAAAGATGTATGAATTCATAAATGGATGGGTGGATAAAAAGATGGATCCAGAATTCTGTAACACGAATTATGCCATGAAAATGGTGTTTTAAGCATTTTGATCTATTTTCTGTTTTTGAATTAAATTGGACCAGCTTGTCTGACTCTATGACGATAAATTGGAATTAAATAAGTGAAAAATCATACGCCTAGTGAGCTGGTAGAATAATTTGACTTTTTTTATAACTTTCGTCGATCATAAATGACGTTTTTTGTGAATTTTGACCTGTTTTTTGAATTTTCCCGAAAACTCAGACCCGTTGGGCCAAATCTAAAGGCAAATTCGGATTCGGCGGAAAAAAGTACATGGAAATACATGGGTCTGAATACCAGATCCGATACTTTTTTTGTGGGGCTGTGTTATTATTGATGAGTAAGTTTTATTTCATAGATTGTGTTACTCCGAATCGTCAGACTTATTACGCTACTGGTTTGAGCAATTAATCAAATTAGAGATAATTTTTGGAAAAAAGAATATGTTCTTGTTATTTCGTTTGTCCTGACGTGCAATCAGTTTTAAATTTCTGGAAACACTCTGTACGAGGCTATCCAACTAATCTTTTTCTTTCTTTTTCTATTTTAGTAGCCGAATTTTAAATGTGCGTTCGAACGCCTTCTAATGCGTTATTCAAAAAGGCGGCAACCCCTCATTTCATGCTTGCGGGCGTCCCGAAACATCCCAGAGACGGCTCGACTGTGCCTCTCAGAGCGCGAGTCTGCAGACTCCCGAGTCCGCGAGACGGGCTCTCAGACCAGTCGGTTCAGTCTCTCGACGACTTCCGCGGTCGGCAACCAACAGTCGCGGACGACAGACGCAAAACAAACGGCCATCGATCTCTTCGCGTGCCCCACGTGTTCCTGCCGCCCGGCTTCGGCGAAGTTTCGCATGACAGGGCCTGGTGACACGATGATTTTGTGATCAGTCGCCGGCGATGATGTGTTTGTTGCTTCCGGAGCAGAACAGGTGATTGAAATTATTTTTTGATTGGGAAAACTGGGCGAGTGTGCTTGTGTGTGGAATTTGAATGGCCCGAGGTTAGAATAAGGAAAAATATAGCGTAGCACGCTCAATGACACATATCGTGGTTAAAAACTTCGATGTCGATATGCACCGTAGACAATGCAATCTAAAAATTAAAAAATTAACAAATTAAAAACCCAGAAAATGTTTCCTTCCATAAGAAGACACTTTAAAAGGAATCAAAATTCTGAGGGATGCTACTCATAGCGTGTCTAGATTAGTTGTGCAAGCCATTAATATAATATGCAAAAAACTGATAAATGAAAATATTTTTTTCTGAACAGACCCAAAGAACACACATAGATATTTGGAAACTTACTCCAAATTGCAAATCCTAATATTTCTTAAATCAAGAATAATATATTTATATAAACACAAAAAAATATATTTTTGATGCTCATGTACCATCTTCAACTAAATAAAAATGTCTTCACTTATACACCTAACTATTTTCTTGGTGGAAAAAATGTGACTTAGTTTAAGATGCCTTAATCAATTGTTGCTCATTTTCGTTCTACAGGGTGTTAAAGTTGAAAAAATATTTTCTTTTTTTATCTATATTTTAAGTATGTATGGACCAATTGTTTTGAAAAATTGTAATTTTATGTTTTTTGAGGTAGCAAATACGAATATGCAAATAGTGTTGGGGTCACGTCTAGGGGGCGCTAGTTGTACTGTCCTCTCAATGTTAAAATATGTCTTAACTTTTTATAGTATTTTACAATTTTTAATTTTTTTAACTAGAAATTGTTGAACTACGTTCAATTCTAAATAAAAAAGGTATACTTGTTACAAATCGATAAACTCAAATGTTTTCGAGATACAGAAATTTTAAGTTTTTGAGATTCGACGGGAATTAAATTAGAAAATTATTTTTTCCAAAGTAGTAGGCATGGACATAATAAATTGACAGCTGTCACTACAATACGATATTGTTTTCTACTCAATTGGATTAAGAAGTGGTTTTTTAGTTTTTTCCTTGTCATTATTTTTTAGAGAAGAGAATATCTTAATAAAAGTCTAAGAAAGTGCATTGAAGTTGCTGGTAGATAATAATTTGTTATGATGTGCATAATAAAATCTTTAATTGCTGTAATGTTTGTCTTAATTCTTAATTCAGGCTTGGTATCTTAAGACCTGCTAATTTTCTAATTTAATTCCCGCCGAATCTCAAAAACTTAAAAAGGTTAATTTTATCGATTTGTAACTAGTACACCTTTTTTATTTAGAATTGAAAATACTACAAATTTTCAAAACAATCGATCCATGCATACTTAAAATATAGATAAAAAAGGAAAATATTTTTTCAACTTTAACACCCTGTAGAACGAAAAGGAGCAATAATTGATTAAGGCATGTTTGGCTCAAGCACTATATTTTGACGTTAACAATATGCCATTAAACTGTGCACCATTATTAATGACTCACCCTGTATATAGAAATCCTAAACAGAGTACGCGGAAGCCAATGGGACGTACTCCAAAGGTAACTTCCTTGGGTGAAAATAGATCGATTTAAATCAAGTTGCCTTACAACTGTTTTGCTTTTGAAATCTTCAAAAATAATTAATTCATTTAATTTATTAGATGACTTTCATTTTCAAATGAAATTCGATATGCGGAATTTTTTGGAACAGCAGAATATGAATATGATCTTATTTTTAACCTAAAATATATATAAGTCCGCTGGTATAAATATTTTAAACAGTTTCTTATTATTTGCCATATTTATTCTTTTTTAGAGATTTGGAAAAACGGATATGTTTTATGAAACCTCACTTTAGTTATTATAAGAAGGTATTCTTGTTGCATGTCTCTAAAATCCACCATTCCCGAAAAATATTTATTTCCATTTTTTAGTGCAGTCATAAGTTACTGACAACCGAGTATTCTAAATACAATTAAACTTCACTTTTCTGCTAAATTTGCTAAATATATTTTACAGTCCTGTATAAGGTGCCTTTATTAAAGGAACAAATATTGAGGGTAACTTGGTTTATATCATAAAAAATATCTTATTCACATGGAAAATTAATAAAAAAAAAAAAGTTAAGTTAATTTAAACTAGAATGTCGAAAATACTCAAATCCGTAACTGTTAAATGCTGTAAAAAATCGAAATAAACTTTTCTCTAACGGTGTATTTTAACGACATGCAACCTTTTTATAGTAAATAAAATGATATTTTAAACAATGTTGTATTTTTCCTCAAAAGCTCTACCACTAAAATTAAAAAATATGTGATTAAATACTGTTAAAAAATTAAGCTCATATTCATATTAGACTTTAATAGTGATGGAGTTAAAAGATGTTTTCTTTGAACGCCTGCAACTTTTCAGGGAAGCGACATACGAAGGTATCTTGATCTGTATCAATTTATTTTAACCCAAAGAAGTTCAAAGAATGTCCAATCGCTCCTGGATATCCGGTATTTTACGATTTTTTAATCTGAGTAGCTTCAAGTGATCCTACACGAGATTTATACAAATAGTATAGATAAAAACACCAAAAAATATGAGTAAATTTAAATATTCCATGGACGCATATAATAGTATCATAAAACAGTTGAATTACGAAAAAAATATTTTTGTGTTCATCTACATACTAAATACATGTTCAGCTACATACTTTTAAAACAAATTATAAATAAAATTATAGAGTATCACGTTATAACAACAATTTGGAATACGCATATACAAATTTAATAAAAATCATTTTTCAAAATTTAAAAACTTTTAGAAGTAAAAAAGAAATCGACAGAAACCGGCCAAAAATGAAAAACACCGACCAAACTGAAAAACGCCCGTTAATTTTTTTCGAAATCCTGGCCTGAAATGTTTTGAATTTGAATTTTGAATTTTGAACTTTGAATTTCGAATTTTGAATTTTGAATTATGAATTTTGAATTTTGAATTCTGAATTCTGAATTCTGAATTCTGAATCCTGAATTCTGAATTTTGAATTTTGAAATTTGAAGTTTGAATTTTGAATTTTGAATTATGAATTATGAATTATGAATTATGAATTATGAATTTTGAATTTTGAATTTTGAATTCTGAATTCTGAATTCTGAATTCTGAATTCTGAATTATGAATTTTGAAATTTGAAGTTTGAATTTTGAAATTTGAATTTGAAAATTTTGATTTTTGATTTTTGAATTTTGAATTTTGAACTTTGATTTTGAATTTAGAGTTTTGTAAATGGCTGAATTAAATTCTGAAAACGATATAATAATTTGAGTAGATATTACTGAAATGTAAAATAAAAAATAGTTGTATATTATTTATTATATTACCAGAAGGAGCTCTGACTTTCTTTTTCTCAGAAACATTCCCGTGTTTTCATGAAACTGAAAAAAACTTTTAGATGTAAAGCATTAATATGACATGTTAGTTTATCATATTTTTATATTTAATGTTCGTTTGTCTTTTTCTTTTAAAATTTAGTTAAGATTTTCTGTTTTACCTTATCTTATAATTGGGACTTTGTCCCGTTGGATATTGTAACTTCTAAATAAATAAATAAATAAATAAATAAAAATAAATAAATATTTACATAGGTATTAATTTCAATGATTTCATTTGAAAAATCATCGGCAAAACTTAAAATAGTCCTATCCATATTTGTCATCTATCTTCAAGAAGTCTTCACATACCGTGTTTCAAATTATTTGCGATGAATAATTTATATTGAACAAATACGCCGCATTTTATTTAAAAAATAAATCACATATAACTACATACTTAATGTGCACACATTTTTGTTGAAATCTTTTAAGCCCACGCAATATTCAGATATCATACCAACAGAAAAGTGTGCTGTTAATTGAATAAAAAAACTGTTTTTGTCCTTTTGAGCGGAATTTTAATGGCGTTCCATCCGAAACTATTTTCATTATAATCCACATCCAAGGCGATGATTGATCAGATCTAATTAACCACTTATTTTGCAAAATTCTTTGTATATCCAGTCCTCGACAATATACGTATAATCACATAATTCATGTTACGGTTAAACTCCGAAAACCGGTTAATGTCCGGTGAATCTCATCATTAGTCTAAATAGTCGATTGAAATCATATAATATAGAAAATCTTATCCTGAGACGACCTAACCTAGGTAACCTGATTTTTTGCCGGATAAGATATGAATCATAACTGAAATATTGAAGTAATACAGCTTCCACGTCTGAGACGTCTCACGTACAAATTAGTTTACTGAGTACAAATAATGATTATCGAATTCAATTGTTCAAATTCAAAAATACGAATAGAATGTACCATCTTCACTTACATTTAAAGAATCTTTACGGATATCTTTGTAAATACCACCGACAATATGTTTTCTAGGGTCTCAAAATGCAAGTGATGTTTCTTTTCTATCTGTTCAACCCATTGATTACACAGGCCGACAAAAAAAATATTTTTTGGTTTTTAGATCAGATATTTTTTTAGAGATTTTTGATCTGCTGAAGCCAAGTTTGAAGAGTAAAACATAACTTGCTGAATTCAGCAGGAAATATGTGAATGACTCCATTTCCTCCAATACTCCAATCAAGAGCTAAAACTGTCTAATTTGAATAAAATCTGTTCAACCATTTTCTTGCAAGTATAAAAACACAATTTTTTGTTCGCTCCGTATATCGAAAACGAAGCGTTTTTAGGCATATGTTTATATGATATTTTTCATTAATTTGTGGCAAAATTCGCCATTAAAGATCAGATAAGGATTTTAGTTGCACCCTACATACCTTGAAATCTGAAAATAGTTATGTGCAAACTTGTTTCTCTTATACATATATGAAATGTATAAAATTATCGCAAACTCTACTAGATTATGCGCCAATAAAACTAAATATAAATCTACTTTTTAAACAATTTGACAAAATAGGAGTAATTCGATAATATTACCAAAAAAGGGGCCAGAAATGAGAAACGTCCCATAT